AGACCTTCTCTCCCACCCCGAAGATGACCACTCTTCGGGTACTGCTGCACGTAGCTGCTCACCGTGACTACGAGCTACACTCTCTTGACTTCAGCACTGCTTTCTTGCAGGGCAGCCTGCACGAGGAGATCTGGCTGCGTCGCCCACCTGGCTTCACTGGGTCTTTTCCTCCTGGCACCCAGTGGAGCCTACGGCGGCCAGTCTACGGTCTCCGCCAGGCACCGCGTGAGTGGCACGACACACTGAGGACTACACTTGCGGCTCTTGGGTTTGCTCCCTCTACTGCCGACCCGTCGTTGTTTCTGCGCACCGACACTTCTTTGTCGCCGTTCTACATCCTCGTGTACGTCGACGACTTGGTCTTTGCCACAGCTGACACTGCTGGACTAGCCCACGTGAAGTCCGAGCTGCAGAAGAGACACACGTGCACTGACCTGGGTGAACTGCGCAGCTACCTTGGCTTGCAGATCACTCGGGACAGAGCACGCCGCACCATTACCCTGACTCAGTCACACATGGTGCAGCAGGTCCTTCAGCGCTTCGGCTTCACGTACTCCTCGCCTCAGGCCACTCCTCTGCCTACTCGCCACTCGCTCTCAGCTCTGCCTTCGGATGAGTCCGTAGAGTCGAGTGGCCCGTACCCAGAGCTTGTTGGCTGCCTCATGTACCTGATGACCTGCACACGACCTGACCTTGCATACCCTCTTAGCATTCTTGCACGCTATGTTGCTCCTGGGAGACACAGACCGGAGCACATGGCTGCAGCGAAGAGGGTGTTGCGCTACTTGTGCAGTACGTCGGGCATGGGGCTTGTGCTTGGAGGGCAGAGTCCAGTGGTCCTTACTGGGCACGCAGACGCTTCTTGGGCTGACGACCAGGCTACGCAGCGGTCGTCACAGGGTTACACCTTCAGCCTTGGTTCCGGCTCTGTTTCGTGGCGGGCTACTCGCTCGTCTTCTGTTCTCGGCTCCAGTTGTGAGGCTGAGATCTACGCAGGAGCCATGGCTGCACAGGAGCTTCGCTGGCTCACCTACCTGCTGACTGACCTCGGAGAGTTGCCTCGTTCTCCTCCAGTGCTGTACATAGACAACAAGGCCATGCTGGCCTTGTGTCGGGAGCAGCGACTGGAGCACAGAACGAAGCACATTGCTCTCCGCTACTTTCTTGCTCGTGAGCTGCAGCAGCGTGGTCAGCTGCGTCTTGCGTACGTGGCCTCTGAGGCCAACACTGCTGATATCTTCACCAAGGCACTTGCGCCTTGTGACCATCAGCGCTTCTGTACTCAGCTGGGCCTTGTGCCTACCTTGCCTCACTTGCTCACCTCTTGACCTTGCTTGTACTGTTACATATATATATATACCTGCTCTTGTTTGTCTAGCCTTTTTTATATATATGTGTACTCCTGCTTGTGAACTGGCCTTGTGGCCTTGAACTTGTGCTCGGAATGTGTGGTGACTTTGTGATCCACCCTGAGCTTGTTTTTGCTTTGCTTTGCTTGACTGGTCTTGTGACCCCTTGTTCTCCCCCACTTTGCCTATGGGGGTGTGTCAGAGTTATATGACATAGCTACTGTAGGCTATAGTGGGGTAGCACATATGGGGTACAGTTGCCTAGGGTTTGCCTTTTGTACGCAACTTTCACTTAGTCATTCATTCCTGTTTTTCTTAATTCACAAACACGAGGCTATATATAGGCTCGACACAAGGCCCCGTAACCAGGTGTTACGCGAAGGTTCCGCGGGTCGCGAAGCGTCCCGAACAGATCCTTACCGAATTCGGTAGAAGGCAATTCGGTGGCCGCCGAAAAGCCAGAATTCGGTTCACGTAACCTAGCTCGGTGCTATAACTATAATAAAATATAGGAAAGCACCTAGCCTAGGAAAGCAAGCAATTCATGCATGCATATAATTATCCTATGCTAGAAATAGTATAATAAAGTAAAGGCAAGCAAGCATAGCTGGCATAAGCCGTCGTACTCTCACAGGCGCATCCAACATCGCCGACGCACTCACCCGCCCTACTGCCCAACTCCACGCCATCCTACTCGCCCAGACCAACCCACTTTTAACAGGCCTATTTACCCACGGATATCGCACTGACCCATTCTTCACGACCGGAAATTCACAGCAACCGGCAGAAGCTAAAGGAGTTTATTACGTAAAAACAGGCACCAACCGCATCTGGGTACCCGCGTACTCACTACTGAGGGAGCTACTACTGCAGGAGGCACACGACGGAATTACCTCGGGACATTTTGGGGTAGAAAAAACACGACAGCAACTGCAGCGGTATTACTACTGGCCAGAGCTGTTGACCGACGTACAGCAGCACGTGGGCTCGTGCCCCACGTGTCAGGTGATGAAGAGCTCAAGGAAGCGGAAGGCGGGTCAATTGCAGCCGATACCACCGCCCGAGCGCGCCTGGCAGCAGGTTACCATGGACTTCGTCACAGGGTTACCTTCGAACCCTGGGGGTAACGACGCGGTGATGGTCGTCGTTGACAGGTTGACGAAGATGGCACACTTCGCTGCGTGCAAAAAGTCGATCTCAGCCGAGGAGACCGCTCGTCTGTTCATCGCAGCCGTTGTTCGCCTGCACGGGATACCAGCAGCGATTATCAGCGACAGGGACACGAAGTTCACCAGCAACTTCTGGAAGAACCTCTGGGAGCAGTTCGGAACCAGGCTGCAGTTCAGTTCGTCGTACCACCCCGAGACCGACGGTCAAACGGAGCGACGAATCAGACGATGGAGCAGTTGATTCGTGCCACGTGCGACGACCCCACGACTTGGGAGCAGCAGCTGCCGCTGATCGAGTTCGCGTACAATAATGCCACGTCAGCGACGACGCAGCAGTCCCCCTTCTACCTGAAGTACGGGCAAAAACCTACAGTGCCCATGACGCCGAGTCCGGACAACCCAACATCACGAGCACAGCAATTCGCCAAAATTCTGCAAGCTGCCCGCACCAGAGCCGCAGAAGCAATTAAAAAAACAATCGCCATCGCTAAGCGCAACGCTGACCGCCACCGCCGCCCAGTCACATACCAGTCAGGGGATTACGTACTGCTCGACACGCAAAATCTGCGACTGCCCGACGTACCAAAACTTCGACCGCGCTACTGTGGCCCATTCCAAATTAGCCACATGATCACGCCAGTAACCGCGCACCTACTGTTACCGACCGACTGGTACATCAGCCCTTCGTTCCATGTCAGCTTGCTTCGCCCCTACATCCCAACCACAAGCCAACTGCCTCGCCACCGCCCGCCATCCATGACTCGCCCTGCATCGGAGCCGATCATCGAGCCCGAAAAAATCCTGAGCCATCGGATTCGACACCCCACGGGACTCAAGAGGATTGAATTCCTCGTCCGCTGGAAGGATCGCACGCCAACTGAGGACAGCTGGGTGCCCCTGGCCAACATCGAAAACCACCCTGCCCTGCAAGTGTACCTGAGGAGCCGGGGATTCCGCGATATACACGCACTCGCGTAGTGGAGGGGGCTTCTTGAGGGGGGGGTAGTGTAAGGAATTTTCTCGGCATTCCTTACGGAGCCCGACTACATCGCGTACAGCAACAGCCGTTATTCGCCCGTTACTGCTAACGGGGCTTCGCCGACTTCGCGCACTGTTTTCACCAAACCTCGCACTGCTGGCATGGCCGTGTCGGCCTACGCTTCGGGACTAGCCCAAGCCTCGCTCCAGCGTAGCACTAGCTAGCTCGCACGCACCGCGTTACCGTTTGCATGTTTCGCGTATAAATGTTCGCTCATGCCTTCGCTCACATTTTGTACTCGTTTGACACCTTAGTGCAATTCTCGCTACTTCGATTCATTGCACCCGTAACAGGAGTACAGGTTCGCTTCGGCAGCAGGTTCGTACCGGAACCGTCTAGTACCAAACCTGTCTTGTTCCAAACCATCCAACAAAACCTGAGAGAGCACTTCATAAGGGTTCCGTTGGCGCGGAGCCTCAACCCTAAATGCCTGGAGGCATGGTGTTCAGGGTTTAGGCTCCCTCGGATGGCATGCCATCCGATGGGGGTTTAGTTGTTTTGCTGCCCGGGGCAGCAGGTCGACAGGTCGACACAGGTCGACAGGCTTGTCGACCTGATTCCGCTGAGATCTTCCACTCACACGGTCACAGCACTCGGTTTTTAGAGCCTCCACTTTCAGCCACTGGTGAGTTATCTACAGGAGGAGATCAACTCGTAAAGCGTTTCGAGGCCATTGTTGAATGGTGGAAACAAGACAGCAGCACCACCCGCGACAATGGTTTGTGCGAGATTTTCGATAAGCTGGATTTCGAATCCGCGTTCTATGGCGGTGACAAGTAGGCTTATATCTCGGGATTCTCTATTGCAGCGGCAATTTTTAACCAAGTGCCTGCAGCACACCGCCTGTAGCGACTAATATTCTCGAACCGATTGTGGTTCGAGTTGAGCGACCATCTATCCCTCCTTGCTAGGTTCCCAATGATGGTTGCTGGGGACTCCCGTCAAAGAGCCGTGAGTGCTTCTCGAGACATCAGCAATGGGAGCTGTGGCGCCACGTCAGACAGTGGTTGTAACATTACCAGTAACAGCAGCAGCCTCCTTTCCAGCCGTGGCGAAGGAAATGCCTCAAACCCGCCTGTAACGGGATCTTTCGCCCGTTTCGCCATGAAGGTTTCGAACGGACGCATCACCATCCCCCTTCTTTCCTGCTCTCTGATCACCCTCCTCTCCTTCTTACTCATCCTCCTCCTCCTCCGGGACCAATCGAGCTTGCCGCGCTCCGGCAAGACAGCGCTTCTTCATTTCAACGCGGGAAGAACCAAAGTTCTCCGCTGCCCGGTCAACATCAGCAGCGTTACGCGTAGCACTTCCCTCGGAATCGACTCGAGTTTCCCGCGTCCTGTGCCTTGGTCTCCTCAACCCGGAAAATTCCTCCTAGCTACCTGCGTGCAGGGTCAAATATCGAACCGCCATCTCTGCGTACATAAGTCTCTCCTCCTCGCGATGCTCCTTAATCGCACACTCATTCTCCCGCCTCTCGACGTTTGTTCGGAATCCGCGGCCCGGCACAGGACCTATGACCTAGCTCTAACTATAGATCTCGAACACTTAGCCCAGTGCTTCAATGGGGTAGGAGGCCCGAACGGAGGACTGGCAGCAGCAGCAGCAGCAGCAGCAGCAGCAGCAGCAGCAGCAGCAGCAGCAGCAGCAGCAGCAGCAGCAGCAGCAGCAGCAGCAGCAGCAGCAGCAGCAGCAGCAGCAGGAGCAGCAGCAGGAGCAGAAGGAGCAGAGTCAACTGCTGCGGAACTTCCAGCAGGAGGGAAAGTCGACAGGAACCTCCCCCTTATACCTCCTGGTGTGGTATCCCTGGAAACTTATCTGAAGACATACAACAGCAATCGCAGCACTCTGGTGGTGGATGAGTTAGCGTGCGGCCTCGTCCCCGACCGTACCGCCTGTGCCGATCTGCTCATGTGCAGCAACAGCACCGAATCCAACCACACAACCATCACCTTCCCGTCCACGCTCTCCCGAATGCGTCTCCCACCGGGCCGCCTTGCAGATCTGGCCTCCAGACTCGCGGATCACGCCCCTGCCACGGTCTCTGCGCGGGTTCTTAGCCTCGGCGACCTCTTTCAGCTCAAAACACTGGAATTTTCCCAGAATACGGCGTTCCTCCCGCCGCCGTTTCTTCCCACGGACTGCGGCTTGCCGATTCGCCCGCCTGCCCCTGTTGTGAAGGCTGCTGCTTGGTACATGCAGGAGTATATTGGGAGGGACTTTGTGGCGCTGCATCTTAGGAGAAAGGATTTCTTGTCCCGGTTTCATAACAGTCCAGGGAACCTGGCTGATTATTTTCCCCTCACGACCGTTGCAGAGTGTGTGTTGGAAAAAATTGATGCTGCAAATAGTGCCGCAGCAGCCGATCTGGGCATTGCATATGGTGATGGTGGTGGTGGTGGTGGTGGTGGTGGTGGTGGTGGTGGTGCTGCTGCTGCTGCTGCTGCTGCTGCTGGTGATGCCGGCAGCGGGCTTGCTTCCTTTGCCAGACCCACGCACGAAGGACGTCGGATTCACATTGTCTTTCTATGCACGGATGCAGGCTCAGGGCAAGTGAAAACTCTTTCAAAGCTGTTGGCGCTCCACGGGGTTACTTTGCTGTGCATGAACATGCGCACAGACATGGCTTTCCAGTCTTCTGGGGTCGACCGAAGAGTGGCGGAATCCCCAGATGCTGCAGCCATGGTGGAAAAGGTCATTGCGGCTAATGCACGCTTTGTGTTGTATGCCCGAGGGTCTAGCTTTTCCGGGCAGATTAGGTATATGAGGCGGAGCCTTGGGCTTGAGAGTTGCTGGGATGGGGTTGTTTGTGAGGAAAGGAGTGATGTAGTGGTGTCGTTACCGACAGCTCTTTTGGGAAAATGATTTGATGCAGGGTTTGTATAGTTGTTTTAGCGAAGATGTGGCGTCTAGCATTGCTTTGTGAATTTCTGTCTTTGTGTACGTTATATCCTACGTATGCTGGTATATCTACAGTGCATTTTGTGTTTTCCAGATTGTACCATTGCCTTCGCGTAACGAACAACTCTGCAAGGGAGACGAGAGGCTTCGCAGCACCTGCGTTCTGGTGACGTCATTACGGATGTATTTATTTGTGGTCCCCACTCATCCACATGATCAGCCACTGTTCGAACATCAGTGAGTCGGCTACTAGGATTTTCATCCATAAATGAGTAATGGTGGCTGGTCCACAACTCTTGTACGCGACAGACCATCGCCATTCACACGCCCTTGCCTCCCGCTCCGAGCGGACTCGACATTCTGGCGTTCGTCGCGACCTTCGCACACTGGTAACGCCTTCGCAACAATAAGAATTGATTTCGCAACTCGCGAAGTAGTGACGGTTGGGGCTCGTCACGACAGCACGGGGCGGAGGCGCGATGGCACTTTTAAGACTGTCTAATTCCTCTTGCCGACGTAGTTCCCTGCTATCACTGTTACGAGGTGGCGGCTCGGGAATCAGAGCAACCACTTATAACGAATCCGGTCGCAGCTGCTCCCGGTACTGTCAATCCAGTTCTTGCGACGCCTCGTTGCCTCTGGCGATCTCCCGCAACGGTTCATCCTCGAATTCCACCCTTCCATCTCACTCTTCCTCCTCCTCCTCCTCCTCCTTTTCTTATTCCTCCTCCGTCTCATCTTCATCCTCCCCGATCCCGTCCGTTGCGTTTCCCTACAAAGCTCCAGCTCTCGCTCTTCTACCGTTCGCTCTGCAACCTACTATCTTGCCGCACCGTCGCGAAAGTCACCTAATATCACGGGATCCTATCTCAAAGCGTTGCCGGATCGCCCCTAAAATCTCCCCGTTCTTCCAATGCTCTTCGTCCCAGCTCGATTTGTCGTCCATTCCTCAGTTGGCCCTCGTACCGCTACCGCTCGTCCGTCCCGCTCCTCGTCCTCTTCCTCCGCCTGCTGCTGCTGGTAGAGATTCTTATCTCGTTGCTAGGAGCAGAGGCATCAGCAGCACCACTGATACCACCACTAGCAGCAGCAGAAGCAGCAGCAGAAGCAGCAGCAGAAGCAGCAGAAGCAGCAGCAGCAGCAGCAGCAGCAGCAGCAGCAGCGCCAATGTCAATGCCGCGGCAGCTGTTTCCCCAGCGTGTCTCGTCTCGGAGCAATACGGAGCTGAGGTGGCGGCGGGCCGGCTGACGTGGGACCCACGCCAGGCTGACGTGGCAGCCGCCATGGATGACCTGGTAACCCAGCTGGCAGCGTACGACCGAGCAATGCGGGAGTACCAGGTGGCACTCGCTGATTGGCTGGCGCAGCGGAGGGTTCTGAGAAGAGAACTGGTGGAGAAGGAGAGGAGAGAGGCGAGGGAGAGGGAGGGGAGGAGGAAGGGGAGGGAGCAGCGGTGGGGGTGGCTGGCGGCGTGGTGGCATGGCATGGCTGATACTGCTGCTCGCCTTGCTTCTTCCAGGTTTCACATGCTACTCTCCCTCCTCTTCCTCGTCTCCCTCCTTTGCCTCCTCTTTCCTCCTCTCCCTCCTCCCCCTCCTCTCCCTCCTCTGTCCCCCCTCCCTCCCCTCCCTCCTCCCTACTCCCTCTCACGTTCTTCCCCTCCCAAATTTGAGTTGCGAACCTCCACCCTTATTCCTCCGTTTTCTCCCATCCTGCTTCCCACCCTCGCTCTCTCCCTCCTTTTCCGTCTCACTTCCACACCCACAAGCCCTTCGGGTTTTGCATGAACCCAACTCACCCACATGTTCTGTGCTTACTGTGCGCCACCATACCCGGTCCCATCTCCCTCCCCTGTTTGCGTCCACTCATCGCTTCAATTAACTGGATCAAGCTTCGATCCCTCGTTTTTCGCATTGTTTCCGCCTCAGGAATCACCATTCCAATCTCCCTTCCCTTCCATCCCTCACACGCAGGGCACAGCGTTCCCTCCTCTCCTCCTCCCCCATTCTTCTGCAAGGCCTTTCTTGGAAACTTCCCAGTGACACCAACAGTAACAACAACAACAACAACAACAACAACAACAACAACAGCAGCAGCAGCAGCAGCGACACTAGCAGGACCGAGCGGTCGGGAATCCTGGAAAGATTGATAGGCCCGGACGGTTGGAGCAGAAGCAGCAGCAGCAGATCCGCACTTGAGAGATTCAGATCACATTCGCCTCTTCTGGACTGGCAGGGGCGTCGACCCTCCCAGGGGACACCAAGGCGATCCACAGTTGAGAGATCCACCCGAAGGGGGCGGGGGATGGGGAGAGGAGGAGGAGTGGTGGTGGTGGAGAGAGGGATTGGCCGCATAGCGAGACGAATCAAGCGGGAGAAAGTTCTGGATGGTATGATGCCTGCTCGGCCGCTCGCCCCTGCTGCTCCCCAGGGGGTTTACTTGCACGGGAGTGTGGGGTCAGGGAAGACCATGCTCATGGATATGCTGTTTGGAGCGGTGCAGAGGGGTGGAGTGGTTGGCGTGGCGAAGCGGGTGCATTTTAATAAGGCTATGCTGGAGGTGCATCAGCGGATGCATAGGTATTGGCGGGAGAGAGAGGAGGTGAAGGAGAGGAAGCGGGAACGGGAGAGGGCGAGGCGGGAGGGGCGTGTAGGAGTGGTGGGGAGTGGTGGGGTGGGGTTGGAGAGAGGGGAGATGAGGTGGGACGAGGAGGAAGAGGAGGAGGAGGGAGAGGATGCAATTCTAGACGCTGTTGCTGATGAGTTCCTGGGAAAATGGGGAGGCGAGGGGACAGTGGAGCATCAGCAAGTCGAGGAGGAGGAGGAGGGAGCAGTGATGCAGGGAGCAGCAGCGGTGCAGGGAGCAACAGCCGCACAAGGATCAGCAGCAGCAGCAGCGGCGGCGGTGCAAGGAGCAGCAGTGCTGTGTTTCGACGAGGTGCAGGTGCTGGACGTGTTCACAGCTGTGGCTCTAGGCCGCCTGCTGCAGCGCGTGCTGCTGAGGGGGGTGGTGCTCGTCGCCACCAGCAACAAGGCGCCCTGGGAGCTCAACCAGGTAACGTCTGAGATGCCGTGTGTTGAGATGCTGAGTCGGAGAGGCAACTTCTGAGTCTGGCTCAAGAGTCAGCGCGTGCTGCTGAGGGGGGTTGTGCTCGTCGCCACCAGCAACAAGGCGCCCTGGGAGCTCAACCAGGTAAGTTCTGATATGCAGTGTCGTGTCTGACTCAAGAGTCAAATTCTGACTCAAGTTCTGAGACGGAGAGGCAGCTCCTGAGTCTGACTCAAGAGCCAGCGCGCTGCTCAGGAGGGTGGTCCTCATCGCCACCAGCAACAAGGCGCCCTGGGAGCTCAACCAGGTGGGATGCCCATGTTGGGCAGTAAGGGGGTTGTTAACCTGTGCAAGGGAGAAAAAATTCTTCTCCCTTTCGCCTCCCGTCCCCCAATTCGCATCTCTCCTTCCCACACTTTCACTCCCCTTATATTTTTTGCTTCCTGCCCCGATATTCTTGGCGCCACCACTCCTTACAGCCGGCAACACTATGAGCTGCTCCAGGCATCCGTTGAGAATTCTCAACATTTAGCTTATGAGGGCACTTCTGCAGCCTCAGAGGTCGTTCCTAGGAGTCACAATTGCCAGGAAGCTCCCTTGGCACTTCTCAAAGTCCCTCTCTCTCCGCCCCACTTCGCGTTTCTTCCTTCTTAACCCGAACGCCCCCCCTTTCAGGACGGGCTGCAGCAAGAGCTGTTCCAGGCGTTTGTAAGCACTGTTAAGGGCTCCTGTCACGTGCTACCGCTCTCCTACCTGCCAGCTCCATTCGCCCTGCACATATCCCGTCTCCCCTCTCCCCAACGCCCCCTGCGCGTCTCTCCTTCCTCCTCTCAGGACAGGCTGCAGAGGGAGCTGTTCCAGGCGTTCGTGAGCACTGTTGAAGGCTCCCCTCCCCCTTTCCCAACCCCCCTCCCGCCCCCCTCTTGCCATCTCTCCCGCCCCTCCTCGTGTCCCCCCCTTTCAGGACGGGCTGCAGCGAGAGCTGTTCCAGGCGTTTGTGAGCACTGTGCTGTGAAGCGCTTCTGCCTCTCCCCTCCCCACATGCGTTTCTTTCTTCCTCCTCCCCCACATGCCCCGCCCTCTCAGGACGGGCTGCAGCGAGAGCTGTTCCAGGCGTTTGTGAGCACTGTGGAGGGCTCTTGCCACGTGCTGCCCCTCTCCTCCCCCACGGACTACCGCTGCCTGCACTCCGCCCCCCCTCCCCCCGCCCATGTGAGCCCCTTTCCCTTCTCCCCTCCCCCCCCCCCCCCCCCTCCTCTGCCCACATGGGCCCCCCTGCCCATATGTCCTGCCCTGTCCTTTCTGCCCTGTCCTTTCTGCCCTGTCCTTTCTGCCCTGTCCTTTCTGCCCTGTCCTTTCTGCCCTGTCCTTTCTGCCCTGTCCTTTCTGCCCTGTCCTTTCTGCCCTATCCTTTCTGCCCTGTCCTTTCTGCCCTGTCCTTTCTGCCCTGTCCTTTCTGCCCTGTCCTTTCTGCCCTGTCCTTTCTGTCCTGTCCTTTTCTGCCCTGCCCTGACCTGCTCAGCCCTTTCCTGTCGCATCTCTCCTGTGGGATTGGGTGTGGTAAGCTACAGTGGCTTTGTGTCGCCATGTTGCTGTGCTGGCGTGTTAATGTGTTGGTATGTGGGCGTGCTGTCATGTTGACAAGCTGTGTTAATAGCATGCTGACATGATTTCTCATTAGCTTACTAGCATGCTGTTTGTAATAGCATGCTGACGTGCTTTTTCATTAGCTTATTACCATGCTGGCATGCTGTCTAATTAGCATGGTGAGATGCTGTCTTATTAGCATGTTGGCATGCTGTCTTGTTAGCATGTTGACATCAAGCCACTCTCTTTCACATTCTCTCTCCTCACGCTCCCTCAACCTCCTCCACCCTCGCATTCTCCCCATTCTCTCCACCCTTCCCCACCCTGCACAGAACCTACCGGGACCACCACCAGCACCCAGCTCGACCCCAACAACTACCACCGTCACTCCTTCACTCTCCTCCCTCTCACCATCACAACCACATCTCTCCTCCCCTCCCCCTCCCCACTCCCCTCCTCCCTCACCACCTACTCCTCCTCATCTTCCCTCCAGCCGCACACCCACTCCTTCCCATCAGCCTGCTCCTACAACGCCCCTAGTTCCCGCCTTCCCTGGTTACTCCTACTTCTGGCCTCTCGGCCCTCAGTCAGAGAGTCTCTTTGAGGACAGGTGGCACGATGCCGTTGGTCAAGAGCTGCGGTTGCATGGAGGAAGGAGAGGGGAAGGAGGCAAGGGAACGGACGGATACGTGGAAGGCCAGGGGGAGGATATTCCTGTCATGTTTGGACGGTGAGTTTTGAGGCGCCTCAAAACTCCCCTCTATGTGGAAGGCCAGGGGGAAGACATTCCTGTCATGTTTGGACGCTCAGAACGCACCCCTCCTCTCTCCTTCTCCCCATCCCTCTTCCTGACTGCTCTCCCTCTTTCCAAACCTTTTCCCCCTCCCAAGAGCCTATCCTTTTCCCTTTCCTACCGCACCCTGCCTCCCTCCGAGTTCTCGCTCGCTTTCTTCGCCTCTGCTGCCTCCCTTGCTCCCTTCCGCCCGTCCGTCACTCCATCTTAATTCCTCCCATTCATCACACGCACATGCACATGCAACATACTTTTCTCTGGCGTATGGCAGTCGCTTTTGAGAATTCTCGAAACGGACTCTTCTTTATTTCCAACCCGATTGCAGTATTAGGTCTAGATTTCTGTTCAGTGAGTGAAGTACCGACCAAAGCTAAAACTGCATTACCACCCTCTCCGTTTGTTTTGAGCCCACCGCATCAAAAACACCACACACCCCTTTGCTGAAAGAAAGAATACATCACTGCCTTTCCATGTTTTCTTCCTTCCAGGAAAACAAGCCAAACACCCCTTTGCTGATTGATTGTGTCTCCCCTCCTTTCCACGTCGTCACCTCTCTATCCTTCCGCCTTACGACTCTCCCTCCCATCCAGGTCCCTGCGTGTCCCTGTGTCGGTGCATGGAATAGCGCGCTTCTCTTTCTCCGAATTGTGTGCCAACATGGTATGTGATCGCAGGTTATGGACGCATGATGCATGAGTGGATGCTGTGTGTATGCGTGCACACATAGGTTTATGAATGCAGCCATGTGTGCGTTGCATGCATGCATGCACACGAAAGCATATGGGCTCATCCATTCCATGCATGCCTTTTGAGTCGACTCGACAGAATATGGGCTCATTCATTCCTTACATGCCATGGCACCACATGCATACACGCAGAAGCTGTACACTTGACGTTAGCTTCGAGTCAATTCAGCAACCACTTCCACCTTGAGTTCATTTATTGGCCAACCATGTATGATTTGAGCCGCCTCAAAAACCATTTCCTTTTTTCTTCTCCCTTTCAAACCTCCTCGCCAGCTGGGCCCACCAGTCTATCTCGCTCTTGCTCTCCACTACCACACTCTCTTCCTCTCCACCATTCCCATCCTCTCACGCTCAGTGCCCTGACCCCTTCCTTTCTCCTTCTCTCCCTCACACCTCCTTCCCCTAAACCCTCTCCCCTTCCTCTTCCCATCCCACCAGCCGGGTTCATCAGACTACCTCGCCCTCGCTCTCCACATCACACTCTTTTCCTCTCCACCATCCCCATCCTCTCACTCACACTTTTTGCAAGACCCCTTTTCCTCACCCTTCCCCTCAACCCCCCCTCCCTCCTCTTCACATCCCATCCCGCCAGCTGGGTCCACCAGACTATCTCGCTCTTGCGCTTCGCTACCACACGCCCTTCCTGTGCACCATCCCATCCCATCCCATCCCATCCCATCCCATCCCATCCCATCCCATCCCCATCTTCTCCTTCTCAGTGCACGACCAGGCACGCTCCATCGTCTCACTCACACTCCGTGCACAGCCCTTCCATCCCACCTCCCTATCTTTCTCCTTTCCATCCCATCCCACCAGCTGGGTCCACCAGACTATCTCGCTCTTCCTCTCCGCCATCCCCATCGTCCTGTGCACACTTTCTCCTGCTCAGTGCACGACCAGGCTCACCCCATCGTCTCACTCACACTCCGTGCACAACCCTTTCTTTCTCCCTCTCCCTCTCCCTTCCATCCCACCCCCCTACCTCCCTTCTTCCCTTTCCATCCACCAGCTTGGCCCACCAGACTACCTCGCTCTCGCTCTGCGCTACCACACTCTCTTCCTGTCAGAGATTCCCATCCTCTCGCGCTCAGTGCACGACCAGGCGCGCCGCTTCCTCACACTCACAGATGAGCTTTACAACCACCGCTGCCTGCTCGTCTGCTCTGCCGCCGCTGCTCCTAACAAGCTGTTTAAGGGGCTGCCGGGGAGAGTGGGAAGTGGTGGGGTGAGGGGATCGGGGGGTGGTGGGGAGGGGGGTGGGGGAGGAGGAGAAGGACGGGTTGATGAGGGGGAGGAGGAGGAGAAGGAGGAGGGAGGAATTGTGCCGAGGATTGATCTTGAGAGGTAATGGTGGTTCCTGCCGCTTCTTGCTGATTCTTGCCTGCGCTTCCTGCCGCCTTCTCTTTCTCCTCCCTCCTTCCTCTTTCTCCTCCCTCCTTCCTCTTTCTCCTCCCTCCTTCCTCTTTCTCCTCCCTCCTTCATCTTTCTCCTCCTCCCTCCCTCCCACCCCCCAGCCTTCAGTTTGAATCGGAGGTGGGGGGCAGTCGCCTAAGAAGGGACGTGCTAGCGGAGGGGGGTCGTTCCGCCCTCACCTCCTCTTTTACACTCCCCGTGCGCCAGCTCTCCGGGCGGGAGGAGGAGTTTGCATTCCACCGAGCGGTAAGGAGAGGCTTTGATGTATCTTGTCTTGAGTCAACTCAAACTCCTTCCCGTGCGCCAGCCAGCTCTCCGGGCGGGAGGAGGAGTTTGCATTCCACCGAGCGGTAAGTGCACGGCACGCGTGTAATGAGTTGAGTTTTGAGTCGACTCAAAACTCTACTCATTCCACCGAGCAGTAAGTGCACGGCACGGCACGCGCTTCTTCCTCCTTCCTCTCTCTCTCTGCGCTCACCTCGTCCGCTGCTCTCCCAGCGGCCAGCTTTCCGGTCAAAAAGAGGAGTTTGCATTCCACCGAGCAGTAAGGGGGGGGCTTAGGTGTATCTTGAGTCGACTGAAAGTACTCCCCATGCGCCACCTCTCTAGACGGGAGGAGGGATTCCTGTTCCCTTCTCCCTTCTCCCTTCTCCCTTCTCCCTTCTCCCTTCTCCCTTCTCCCTTCTCCCTTCTCCCTTTCCACCAAGTGGTGTTTGCACGCCCTTCTCCTTCCCTCCTTTCCTCCTCTTTCTCCTCGCCCCCTCCGTCTCCGCCCTCACCTCCTCTTCCATGCTCCCCATGCGTGAGCTGTCCAGGCAAGAAAAGGCAGTAGCATCCCACTGAACGGTAGGGGCTTAGAGGTATAGGTCTCACAGGTTAGAGACATCTCACAGGTATAGGTATAGGTACAGGTACTTCAAAGGCTTCCCGTGCGCCAGCTCCCTGGGAGATTGAAGTGGAGTTGGCAGTGTAGGTTCTTTGAGAGTTCTCAAAAGACATACGCCAGCTTCCAGGGGTATTGAAGTGGAGTTTGCGTTTGAACGAGCGGTAAGGGCTTGACACAAACGCTCATCACAAATGTCTCACAGCGAGGCCTTCTCAACGCTTCGTCTCTGCTGCAGGTTTGGTTTCGAGGTTGCCGGAAATGCAGTCTGAGCGATACCACAGGCTGCACTACCAAGTGCGTCGAGGCGTCGAGACTCAAGAGGCGACAACTGAGACAACTCAAAAGAGGCCTTCTTGCCCTGCTCCCATTGTGTTTCCCATGCTGCAGGTTTACTTTTGAGTCGACTCAAAATTCAACTTCTGAGTTGACTCAAAAGTCAACTCGAGAGGCGACAACTGAGACAACTCAAAGGAGGCCTTCTTGCCCTGCTCCCATTGTGTTTCCCATGCTGCAGGTTTACTTTTGAGTCGACTCAAAAGTCAACTTCTGAGTTGACTCAAAAGTCAACTCGAGAGGCGACAACTGAGACAACTCAAAGGAGGCCTTCTTGCCCTGCTCCCATTGTGTTTCCCCTGCTGCAGGTTTCAAGGTTGCTGGAAATGCAGTCTGAGCGATACTACAGGCTGCACTGCCAAGTGCGTCGAGATCATACCGTAGATGAGTCACAGAGGAGTCACAGATGAGTCACAGATGATAGAAGAATGTTTTACCGGTACCGGTAATACGGTACAGCAGCAATTGGGTCAATGTCAAGTGCCTGTACTGGTAAGTCTCGTATTCTTTTGTAACAAGAAGCGTGTAGGCAGTATGTTTCTACGCATTCCGGAAATTCAGTGTACTGTACCGTGCTCTTATGGCCTTGTCATGTCGCTATATTGGTGATTTCCCTACGTAGCTCCTCTGTCAACACTTCTGTAGATATGGTAGGATGAAAGGATGACTGGTCAATGGCACTAGAAAGTCTGAAATGGAAAGACTCAAGTCAAGTCTTGTTTGTTTGGTATTGCATGGCGCCTGCAATGCGTCACCCAGTTGCGAACAGGGCATGGCGAGCATGGCAGGAAACAGGCAAATGATGTGGTTTTTTGGCTCCTGTTGAAATTATTGGCAACTTAAGAGCCCTACAGACACGCTATGGCTGTTGGAAGAGCGGAGACGATTGGAGGAAGTGAGCAAATTGTGCGATGAGGGGTGATGTGCGCACAGCTCCCCACGCTGCTGCTGCTCTCATTGCCCACTCCCTCTCTGTTATCGTCTCTGGGAAGGCCTTCTTGTGCATGCTCAGGATCTGCCGTGGAAAAAGGGGGAGGAGAAGGAACGAGAGGAGAAGGAAGGAGAGGGGAAGAGGGCGGATGGCGAGCCGTAAGGAGGATACACGAATACACCCCCCCGACCGATGCTGCTGCTGCTCTCATCGCCCCTCCCTCTCTGTTATCGGCACCGGGAATGGCTTCTAATGCACGCTCAGCATCTGCCATGGAAAAGGGGGACTTGGGAGGGAGGATCTGGCAAAATTCTGAGGCGCCTAAAAAATAATTCCTCATGCTCAGGACCGGCCGAAGGAGGGGAGGAGCGCGGGGGAAAGGGAAGGAATTTTGAGTCAACTGAAAGATCTGCTGACACCTCTGGGGGGAAGGGCTTCATGTAAATGCTCAGGATTCAACATGGAAAGAGGGTTAGCTGTGGTACAGCCGTGCTACAGCCGGCTACAAGCGAAGGCTAGAATTGGTGCTTTCCTCGAGATTATCAACACACCCTCGTTCTATCAACGAACCCACCTTGTGCTTCGGCTGCTGCCGGTAACTGTGCATGTGTCACATATAAACGTCCCAAGAATGAGTTGGTGGACCCCTTGTTAAAATGAACCCATTCTGGTTACTATGAACCCACCTTGTGCTTCAGCTGCTGCCTGTAACTGCTCAACGACCCCATTCCACTGCCTCCTCCTGCTCCCCCCAATCCCCCTCCCCTTCCCCCTCCCCCTCCTCCTCTTCCCAATGCTGCGTCCACAGCTGCACCCTCTGCCCACGCCCACGGGTCTTCAGATGGTAGTATCCAGAAACTAACAGACCCCTCTTCCTCCTTTCCACCACCACCACCACCACCACCACCACCAATGCCTTGCTTGCTGCCCTGCCATTCTCCACTCTCCTTCCCTCCTCCTCCTGCTCCTCCTGCTCCTCCTGCTCCTCCTGCTCCCCCATCCTCCTCCATCTGCTGTTTCACACCGGTTCTTCTTCCCCCAGGGTTAGCCCCGCGTGTGGCCCCATCCCCACCCCTCTCACCATCACCATACACCCCTCTCAAGTACCCTACTCTCCCCCCTACCCCTCTCCCTCCTCTCCCTCTGCTCCCTCCTCTCTCCCTTCTCCCTCCTTCTCCTCCTCCTCCTCCTCCTCCTCCTCCTCCTCCTCCTCCTCCTCCTCCTCCTCCTCCTCCTCCTCCTCCTCCTCCTCCTCCTCTGATTCCTCTGCTCCCTTTTCCCCCTTCTGCCTTACCAGGCCCCAGCGGGATTAGAGGAGGAGGGGCGAGAGGAGAGGAGGTGAAAGGGAGAGGCGGTGTGATGAGCCGCGAAGGTGGAGTGAGGAGAGTGGTGTGGGAGAGGAGGGAGGAGAGGTGCGAGAGGGTGGAGGAGAGCTGACCGGGAGTGAAGTCAGCCGGACGCACTCTGGTGGGTGGGGGTTGTGCAAGTGGGGTTGTGCAAGTGGGGTTGTGCAAGTGGGGTTGTGCAAGTGGGGTTGTGCAAGTGGGGTTGTGCAAGTGGGGTTGTGCAAGTGGGGTTGTGCAAGTGGGGTTGTGCAAGTGGGGTTGTGCAAGTGGGGTTGTGCAAGTGGGGTTGTGCAAGTGGGGTTGTGCAAGTGGGGTTGTGCAAGTGGGGTTGTGCAAGTGGGGTTGTGCAAGTGGGGTTGTGCAAGTGGGGTTGTGCAAGTGGGGTTGTGCAAGTGGGGTTGTGCAAGTGGGGTTGTGCAAGTGGGGTTGTGCAAGTGGGGTTGTGCAAGTGGGGTTGTGCAAGTGGGGTTGTGCAAGTGGGGTTGTGCAAGTGGGTTGTGCAAGTGGGGTTGTGCAAGTGGGGTTGTGCAAGTGGGGTTGTGCAAGTGGGGTTGTGCAAGTGGGGTTGTGCAAGTGGGGTTGTGCAAGTGGGGTTGTGCAAGTGGGGTTGTGCAAGTGGGGTTGTGCAAGTGGGGTTGTGCAAGTGGGGTTGTGCAAGTGGGGTTGTGCAAGTGGGGTTGTGCAAGTGGGGTTGTGCAAGTGGGGTTGTGCAAGTGGGGTTGTGCAAGTGGGGTTGTGCAAGTGGGGTTGTGCAAGTGGGGTTGTGCAAGTGGGGTTGTGCAAGTGGGGTTGTGCAAGTGGGGTTGTGCAAGTGGGGTTGTGCAAGTGGGGTTGTGCAAGTGGGGTTGTGCAAGTGGGGTTGTGCAAGTGGGGTTGTGCAAGTGGGGTTGTGCAAGTGGGGTTGTGCAAGTGGGGTTGTGCAAGTGGGGTTGTGCAAGTGGGGTTGTGCAAGTGGGGTTGTGCAAGTGGGGTTGTGCAAGTGGGGTTGTGCAAGTGGGGGTTGTGCAAGTGGGGTTGTGCAAGTGGGGTTGTGCAAGTGGGGTTGTGCAAGTGGGGTTGTGCAAGTGGGGTTGTGCAAGTGGGGTTGTGCAAGTGGGGTTGTGCAAGTGGGGTTGTGCAAGTGGGGTTGTGCAAGTGGGGTTGTGCAAGTGGGGTTGTGCAAGTGGGGTTGTGCAAGTGGGGTTGTGCAAGTGGGGTTGTGCAAGTGGGGTTGTGCAAGTGGGGTTGTGCAAGTGGGGTTGTGCAAGTGGGGTTGTGCAAGTGGGGTTGTGCAAGTGGGGTTGTGCAAGTGGGGTTGTGCAAGTGGGGTTGTGCAAGTGGGGTTGTGCAAGTGGGGTTGTGCAAGTGGGGTTGTGCAAGTGGGGTTGTGCAAGTGGGGTTGTGCAAGTGGGGTTGTGCAAGTGGGGTTGTGCAAGTGGGGTTGTGCAAGTGGGGTTGTGCAAGTGGGGTTGTGCAAGTGGGGTTGTGCAAGTGGGGTTGTGCAAGTGGGGTTGTGCAAGTTGGGTTGTGCAAGTGGGGTTGTGCAAGTGGGGTTGTGCAAGTGGGGTTGTGCAAGTGGGGTTGTGCAAGGGTGTGGTGGGTTGTGCAAGTGGGGTTGTGCAAGTGGGTTGTGCAAGTGGGGTTGTGCAAGTGGGGTTGTGCAAGTGGGGTTGTGCAAGTGGGGTTGTGCAAGTGGGTTGTGCCAGTGGGGTTGTGCAAGTGGGGTTGTGCAAGTGGGGTTGTGCAAGTGGGGTTGTGCAAGTGGGGTTGTGCAAGTGGGGTTGTGCAAGTGGGTTGTGCAAGTGGGGTGTGCAAGTGGGGTTGTGCAAGTGGGGTTGTGCAAGTGGGGTTGTGCAAGTGGGGTTGTGCAAGTGGGGTTGTGCAAGTGGGGTTGTGCAAGTGGGGTTGTGCAAGTGGGGTTGTGCAAGTGGGGTTGTGCAAGTGGGGTTGTGCAAGTGGGGTTGTGCAAGTGGGGTTGTGCAAGTGGGTTGTGCAAGTGGGGTTGTGCAAGTGGGGTTGTGCAAGTGGGGTTGTGCAAGTGGGGTTGTGCAAGTGGGGTTGTGCAAGTGGGGTTGTGCAAGTGGGGTTGTGCAAGTGGGGTTGTGCAAGTGGGGTTGTGCAAGTGGGGTTGTGCAAGTGGGGTTGTGCAAGTGGGGTTGTGCAAGTGGGGTTGTGCAAGTGGGGTTGTGCAAGTGGGGTTGTGCAAGTGGGGTTGTGCAAGTGGGGTTGTGCAAGTGGGGTTGTGCAAGTGGGGTTGTGCAAGTGGGGTTGTGCAAGTGGGGTTGTGCAAGTGGGGTTGTGCAAGTGGGGTTGTGCAAGTGGGGTTGTGCAAGTGGGGTTGTGCAAGTGGGGTTGTGCAAGTGGGGTTGTGCAAGTGGGGTTGTGCAAGTGGGGTTGTGCAAGTGGGGTTGTGCAAGTGGGGTTGTGCAAGTGGGGTTGTGCAAGTGGGGTTGTGCAAGTGGGGTTGTGCAAGTGGGGTTGTGCAAGTGGGGTTGTGCAAGTGGGGTTGTGCAAGTGGGGTTGTGCAAGTGGGGTTGTGCAAGTGGGGTTGTGCAAGTGGGGTTGTGCAAGTGGGGTTGTGCAAGTGGGGTTGTGCAAGTGGGGTTGTGCAAGTGGGGTTGTGCAAGTGGGGTTGTGCAAGTGGGGTTGTGCAAGTGGGGTTGTGCAAGTGGGGTTGTGCAAGTGGGGTTGTGCAAGTGGGGTTGTGCAAGTGGGGTTGTGCAAGTGGGGTTGTGCAAGTGGGGTTGTGCAAGTGGGGTTGTGCAAGTGGGGTTGTGCAAGTGGGGTTGTGCAAGTGGGGTTGTGCAAGTGGGGTTGTGCAAGTGGGGTTGTGCAAGTGGGGTTGTGCAAGTGGGTTGTGCAAGTGGGGTTGTGCAAGTGGGGTTGTGCAAGTGGGGTTGTGCAAGTGGGGTTGTGCAAGTGGGGTTGTGCAAGTGGGGTTGTGCAAGTGGGGTTGTGCAAGTGGGGTTGTGCAAGTGGGGTTGTGCAAGTGGGGTTGTGCAAGTGGGGTTGTGCAAGTGGGGTTGGGTTGTGCAAGTGGGGTTGTGCAAGTGGGGTTGTGCAAGTGGGGTTGTGCAAGTGGGGTTGTGCAAGTGGGGTTGTGCAAGTGGGGTTGTGCAAGTGGGGTTGTGCAAGTGGGGTTGTGCAAGTGGGGTTGTGCAAGTGGGGTTGTGCAAGTGGGGTTGTGCAAGTGGGGTTGTGCAAGTGGGGTTGTGCAAGTGGGGTTGTGCAAGTGGGGTTGTGCAAGTGGGGTTGTGCAAGTGGGGTTGTGCAAGTGGGGTTGTGCAAGTGGGGTTGTGCAAGTGGGGTTGTGCAAGTGGGGTTGTGCAAGTGGGGTTGTGCAAGTGGGGTTGTGCAAGTGGGGTTGTGCAAGTGGGGTTGTGCAAGTGGGGTTGTGCAAGTGGGGTTGTGCAAGTGGGGTTGTGCAAGTGGGGTTGTGCAAGTGGGGTTGTGCAAGTGGGTTGTGCAAGTGGGGTTGTGCAAGTGGGGTTGTGCAAGTGGGGTTGTGCAAGTGGGGTTGTGCAAGTGGGGTTGTGCAAGTGGGGTTGTGCAAGTGGGGTTGTGCAAGTGGGGTTGTGCAAGTGGGGTTGTGCAAGTGGGGTTGTGCAAGTGGGGTTGTGCAAGTGGGGTTGTGCAAGTGGGGTTGTGCAAGTGGGGTTGTGCAAGTGGGGTTGTGCAAGTGGGGTTGTGCAAGTGGGGTTGTGCAAGTGGGGTTGTGCAAGTGGGGTTGTGCAAGTGGGGTTGTGCAAGTGGGGTTGTGCAAGTGGGGTTGTGCAAGTGGGGTTGTGCAAGTGGGGTTGTGCAAGTGGGGTTGTGCAAGTGGGGTTGTGCAAGTGGGGTTGTGCAAGTGGGGTTGTGCAAGTGGGGTTGTGCAAGTGGGGTTGTGCAAGTGGGGTTGTGCAAGTGGGGTTGTGCAAGTGGGGTTGTGCAAGTGGGGTTGTGCAAGTGGGGTTGTGCAAGTGGGGTTGTGCAAGTGGGGTTGTGCAAGTGGGGTTGTGCAAGTGGGGTTGTGCAAGTGGGGTTGTGCAAGTGGGGTTGTGCAAGTGGGGTTGTGCAAGTGGGGTTGTGCAAGTGGGGTTGTGCAAGTGGGGTTGTGCAAGTGGGGTTGTGCAAGTGGGGTTGTGCAAGTGGGGTTGTGCAAGTGGGGTTGTGCAAGTGGGGTTGTGCAAGTGGGGTTGTGCAAGTGGGGTTGTGCAAGTGGGGTTGTGCAAGTGGGGTTGTGCAAGTGGGGTTGTGCAAGTGGGGTTGTGCAAGTGGGGTTGTGCAAGTGGGGTTGTGCAAGTGGGGTTGTGCAAGTGGGGTTGTGCAAGTGGGGTTGTGCAAGTGGGGTTGTGCAAGTGGGGTTGTGCAAGTGGGGTTGTGCAAGTGGGGTGTGCAAGTGGGGTTGTGCAAGTGGGGTTGTGCAAGTGGGGTTGTGCAAGTGGGGTTGTGCAAGTGGGGTTGTGCAAGTGGGGTTGTGCAAGTGGGGTTGTGCAAGTGGGGTTGTGCAAGTGGGGTTGTGCAAGTGGGGTTGTGCAAGTGGGGTTGTGCAAGTGGGTTGTGCAAGTGGGGTTGTGCAAGTGGGGTTGTGCAAGTGGGGTTGTGCAAGTGGGGTTGTGCAAGTGGGGTTGTGCAAGTGGGGTTGTGCAAGTGGGGTTGTGCAAGTGGGGGTTGTGCAAGTGGGGTTGTGCAAGTGGGGTTGTGCAAGTGGGGTTTGTGCAAGTGGGGTTGTGCAAGTGGGGTTGTGCAAGTGGGGTTGTGCAAGTGGGGTTGTGCAAGTGGGGTTTGTGCAAGTGGGGTTGTGCAAGTGGGGTTGTGCAAGTGGGGTTGTGCAAGTGGGGTTGTGCAAGTGGGGTTGTGCAAGTGGGGTTGTGCAAGTGGGGTTGTGCAAGTGGGGTTGTGCAAGTGGGGTTGTGCAAGTGGGGTTGTGCAAGTGGGGTTGTGCAAGTGGGGTTGTGCAAGTGGGGTTGTGCAAGTGGGGTTGTGCAAGTGGGGTTGTGCAAGTGGGGTTGTGCAAGTGGGGTTGTGCAAGTGGGGTTGTGCAAGTGGGGTTGTGCAAGTGGGGTTGTGCAAGTGGGGTTGTGCAAGTGGGGTTGTGCAAGTGGGGTTGTGCAAGTGGGGTTGTGCAAGTGGGGTTGTGCAAGTGGGGTTGTGCAAGTGGGGTTGTGCAAGTGGGGTTGTGCAAGTGGGGTTGTGCAAGTGGGGTTGTGCAAGTGGGGTTGTGCAAGTGGGGTTGTGCAAGTGGGGTTGTGCAAGTGGGGTTGTGCAAGTGGGGTTGTGCAAGTGGGGTTGTGCAAGTGGGGTTGTGCAAGTGGGGTTGTGCAAGTGGGGTTGTGCAAGTGGGGTTGTGCAAGTGGGGTGGAAAAGGGGAGGAAGTTTCACATAGCGGTCAGACAGTGAAGTGGAGAGAAGGTGATTCCAAAAAGAGAGTTCTAGTCGGAAAAGGTGGGCAGTGAAAAAACGATGGGCCATGTTAAAAGGATGGGCAGGTGGTTCCGTATAGGTGTGGTTCTCCTCAACCCTCCTCGCCCCTCCTCACCCCTGTGACCTACTTGTACAAGGATGGGCAGTCAAGTAGAAACGGAGTGAGGGAGTGAGTGAGTGAGCGTTCATGTCACCGGAACGCACCTGGCGTGAGGGAGAGAGTGAGCGAGGAGAACGCACCTGGAGAAGACAAAGAGAGCATCGGCAGCGAAACTCTCCTCTCCCTCCTTCCCCAACACCATCTCATCCCCCACCCAACGGCAGCTCTCCCTGTGTTCCCCCCCAGTAGACGGGACACCAGCAGCACCAGCAGCACTAACAGCAGCGGCGGCAGCAGCAGCAGCAGGAGAAGCAGCAGCAGCCGAGGTTGCAGCAGCCTTTGAAGGGCCCCAGGGGCTTTCAGATGGGGAGAGGCGCAGCATTTGGACGGTCTGGATGTACTCCCAGGTGGCGCGGTCGTTTATTCCATCACACACCACGATCACCAGGTGACACACGGAGAAGAGAAATACCCCTAGCTGGGCACAGGGCAACGGGTGAGGGGAAAGTGGGGATAGGTGTGGAGACAGGTGCGGGTGTGGAGTGAATATTGCATGCGTGCGCGTGTATTGTACTCCCACACACATCCCCACGTAGCTTTTGAGAATTCTCATATTGCATGCATGCGTGTGTTTTGTACTCCCACGTGGCGCAATCGTTTATCCCATCGCACACCACGATCACCAGGTGACACACGCTGGGGACAGGGCAACGGATTGTGGGGGGTGGGGTGGTGGGAAGTGGGTTGCGTTGTAGGGGGTAGATAAATATGCGTCTGACAGTGGGTATATATATACATGTATATACATATATATACGAGAGGCAACGAAAAGCATCAAGAAAACTGACTGACCTGCAGGCCCATGATGGTGTGTGCGAGCTCAGCACTGATCAGAGAAGAGTCCCCAGCCTCCCCACCATAAGCAGCAGCAGCAGCAGCAGCAGCAGCAGCACCACCATTATCATCTGCAGCAGCAGCAGCAGCACCACCATTACCATCTGCAGCAGCAGCAGCAGCGGCAGGAGGAGGAGGAGGGATGATGTCGATGCTGGCGGTCCCGTCTGCACGGGCGACGTCTAGGAGGAGAGATGCGCTGTTGATGGGCTGATGGGGGGGTGGTGGGGGCATGAGGAGACGTGGGGGAAGGAGGACTGGACGGAAGATTGACAAAACAAGTACAGGACGAATGAGGTGGGGCATGGGATGACGGGATAAAAGAGATGAAGGTGAAAGAGTGGGGATGGAAGGGGTGATGAAGGTCAGGAAAGGAGTGGGAGATAGTGGAAGGAGGAGGGATGATGTCGATGCTGACGGTTCCGTCCGCACAGGCGACGTCTAGGAGGAGAGATGCGCTGTTGATGGGCTGATGGGGGGGTGGTGGGGGCATGACGGAACGGGGAGGAGTGAATGGAAGATTGAGAAAAGAGGGGACGAATGAGGTGACGGGGGAAGGGATGGAAGGGATGACAGGATGAAGGGAATGCAGGTGAAGGAGTGGGGAAAGAAGGGGCAGTTAGAGTTAGGGAAGAAGTGGAATATAGCTTTCTCCATGAGTCAAAAGGTGCCGATTAAAGGCAACGATAGTCTCTGCATTGTTCACATCGCACATCACACATGACACGTCATATACATCATGTGTGATGTGAACAATGTGAACAATGCAGAGACTATCGTACACACAACATCCATCATCCATCACACAAATCACACGTCATGATATAATTTTATTCGTTCGAAGCCGTTTGACAGATGAGGGGCAGTGAGGCGAGGCTTAGCGGTGCCTAGTGAGCCACATGTGCCTCCATGCCACTGCTGAAACATACCCAGGCAGTGGCATGGAGGCACATGCCACTGCTGAAACATACCCAGGCAGTGGCATGGAGGCACATGCCACTGCTGAAATGACTTTCCTTGGCAAGCCTAATACAGCAGCTCACAGGCACAACAGCCCCACCCACCCTCCCAACATCTTCCCCACCACCCACCCACCTGCGTGTCTATGAGCAGAAGCCTATCCGAGGTAACATGCGCCTCCACGCCGCTGCTGCAGTGCTACAGTGCTACAGTGCTGCAGTCCTGTGCCTTGCTGGGCGTTGCCTGGGGTTTCATCCGCACAACACACACGTTCACACCCACCCACCTGAGTGTCTACGAGCAACAGCCTATCCGAGGTAACATGCGCCTCCACGCCACTGCTGCAGTGCTGCAGTGCCACAGTGCCTTCCCTTGGTGGCCTAGCACAGCAGCCTATCCCCTCCTCTTACATGCACAGCAACATCCACAACACCCACCCACCTGAGTGTCTATGAGCAACAGCCTATCCGAGGTCACATGCGCCTCCACGCCGCTGCTGCAGTGCCGCCCTGCCAGCACCTGCTCCTCCCCGCCCACCACAAACACCCCTCCCAGGGGCCCTGGGGAAAGGAAACTCCGCAAGAGCAGAGGGAGAGAGGAAGGGGAAAGGATGTTGAGGCATGTCAAAGGGCGCAAACAAAACACCACCCCCCCCCACCCGACCCAGGGGGGAACAGACCAAGTCACTCTCTCTCCTCCAAGAGCAGAAGGAGCGGATTTTCTAGGCGCCTCAAAAAGAGAACGAAGTTACTTCTCTAAAGAGCAGAGCGAGCGGGAAAGGGGAGAGGAGAGGTGGACCGGGAAAGGCTTGAAAAGAGGAAAAGCTTTTGTGATGCGACAAAGGCGTGGGAGAAAGGACACGTGATAAAAGAAGTGTTTTGAGAGGGAAAGGCTTGAGAAGAGAAAAAGGCTTCTGTGATGCGTCAAAGGCGCGGGAGAAAGGAGGACGCCCACCGGAAGCGGCATGGGTGGGGATGCGAGCGGTAGCGAGGAAAAAGGGGAGAGGAGGGGCGGGAAGAAATGGGGCTTGCGGCATGCACTCACCAGCAGCGGTGCACTCACCAGCAGCGGTGCACTCACCAGCAGCGGTGCGCTCACCAGCAGCGGTGCGCTCACCAGCAGCGGCATTGGCGGGAATGTGCGCAGCAGCAAGCGCGTTGAGCAGCGATGATTTTCCAAGGGAGGGCGGACCCAGCACCGCCAGCACTGTGAAATCCGTGTTATCTGAGAGCGCCTGGCGGGAGGGGGAGGGAGGGGTGAGAGAGGGGCAGAAGAGGAGAGTGGGAGAGGGAGGGTGATGCACACGGGATTGGGGCCATGGAGCCAGCACCGCCAGCACTGTGAAGCCCGCGTTGTCTGGAAGAGCCTGGTGGGAGGGGGCGGGATGGGGAGGGGGGAATGGTCTGATGGGGAGAGAGGGAAGGAGGACCCAGCACTGCCAGCACTGTGAATTCCGTGTTGTCTGGAAGAGCCTGGTGGGAGGGAAGGGGATAGGGGGCGGAGGGAGGTGTGGGAGGACGGGGGGGAGACCGTGTTGTGAACGAGGAAGAGGGACGGATGGGGAGAGAGAGAGAGAGAGGGCGGACCCACCACCGCCAGCACGGTGAAGTCTGTGCTGTCAGGAAGAGCCTGGTGGGATTTTTGAGGCGCCTCAAAAATGGTCCGTGTTGTCTGGAAAAGCCTGGTGGAGGGAAGAGAGGAGAGGGGGGGGAGAAGGGGAGGAGGGAGAAACCGTGTTGCGTGAGAGGGAATGAAGGAAAGGGGAGGTTGGGGAAGCAGGAGAGGGAGGGCGGACCCACCGCTGCCAGCACTGTGAAGTCTGTGCTGTCAGGAGGAGCCTGGTGAGAGGGAAGAGGGGCGATGGGAGAGAGGGCAGAGGCGGAGGGGGTCGAGTGGGGTGAGGGGGACCAGAGAGAGAGGGGAGGGGGGAAAAGGGGGAAGTGAAGGGAAAGGAGGCGGGAGGTGGTGGGAAGGGGGGGAAAAGGCGGGGGTGGGGAAGGGGAGAGGAAGGAGAGGTACCTGCACCAGTCATCACCTGCACCAGTCATCACCTGCACCAGTCATCACCTGCACCAGTCATCACCTGCACCAGTCATTACCTGCACCAGCCATCACCTGCACCAGTCATCACCTGCACCAGTCATCACCTGCAGGAGCCGATCAGGAGTAAAATCCCACGCCGAATTCACCAGAGTTACACTCGCACTCGCAGCAACGGGGGCAACTGTGGATGAGGAGGTGGAGGAGGAGGAAGGCAACACAGGGACAGACGCAACTGCTGCTCCCACTGCCCCTGCCCCTGCCCCTGCCACTGCTCCCCCTGCTGCTGCTGCCCCTGATGAGGAGGACACTAGGGATGCTGATGCGGCTGCTGCTGCTGTGGGTCGTGTGCCTATACCCCCTGATCCCAGGCTGTGACGTCTCTCAGAACTCCCCCCCACGCCCCCTCCTCGTTCTCCTCCTCCTGCTCCTGCTCCTGATCCCCTTGCACTTCTCTCACCGCCTCTCCCTCCCCTTCTTTCCCCTCCCTCCGCCCCCCCCCCTCCCCCTCCCCCTCCCCGTGCCCCTATCCCTCCCCCCCTCTCTCCGCCTGCACTCAGCAACTCCTCTGCGCCTAATAACCCGCCAGTTTCGAGTCTTCCCCCCCTCCCCTCGACTTCCGCACCAGCCCCCGCTGCCCCCGCGCCTCCCCCCGCCCTGTCATCTCTTAGAATGCGCACAGCGCCTCCCCTCCCCCCCGCGCTTGCTCCCCCGGTCCCCCCTGTGCTGTACAATCCCGCGCCTCCGCCATACCCCCCGCCGTGCGCCCTCCCCGTGCCGTGCGCAAAGCCCCCTACAGCTCCGCCGCCGCCGGTCCCGCCGCCAATAGCGGCGGGATTTCCGGAGCCACTCGTACTCGCAGCGCCAGCATCTTGACTAACGTACGGCAAAATGCCACCAGCCGTTAAAATCCCAGGTCGCGCAATTGACACTTGCGGAACCCCGCCTGTGCTGTGGCGGGAAGCATCCGCGGGGGAGGGGAAGGGGGAGGCGGAGCCTTTGCCGTCCCCCACACTCGCGAGCGGAGATGCGCGGAAATTTCCCGGAGCACCAGCGGCGGTGCTGGGCGGAAGCGGTCGTTCGGAAGCGCCGCTAGCGAACGATTGCGCGTCCGAAGCGGCGCGATTTACGGGTGACGGTTTGGCAAGGAGTATGCGCGGCGGCATGGCGTAAGGGATTTTTTCTGTAGAGAATCGATAATGAATGTGTTTAGTGGCGATGAATCATTGACTCCAAAAGGTTGATAAGCAATGCTACACGCGAATCCCTCTATAGCGCATGATAAGAAGAAACATGCAATAATTATATCAATAAATGAATCTAAAATTGAAAGGCCACAATCACAATAACAACAGACTCAGATTTCCTAACCTTTTCTAAGGCCAGCAAAATACAAGCCTGAAAGCAGCACACCATCTACCTCAACTCCCGCTTTAATGCGCGCATCAATGTCGTGAAGCGGAACTAGGCTTGTATGCATGAGTGTCTCTGTGCCTTCCCTTGCCGTTGCTCTTCTTCTCTCGTCTTTGTTGATCCGTACACGCACAAACAACACCTGCCAGCCACGCCACCAAGCCAAGCAGCACAAGGAAAGAAATTGCTCTTCGAGAGGAGTAGGTAGGTTACTCATCATTCACATCGTAGCGGGATGACATACATAGTACTGGTATCACATGCCGTTGCTACTGTACAGCTAGGTATACACCGCTACGGTATCTTCATTACCGAGGAACCGAGGATCAAGAGACCCCAGCTCACACCCCGCTCTTATTCACCCCAACCACATCCCACCCCTCTTCTGCTGCCACGCCACACCCCCGAAACCGGGCGACAGCTTCTATTTTAGGTGCCTAAGAACAAAAGCAGCCAACGCACGCACACCCCCACTCTCACCTTCTGCTGCCACACCCCAGGGAGTGGGCGGCACGAGCCTATCATTTCTGCCCCTTCTCCCACGAACCCTGTCTCCTCCTCAAGCTCCCGCATTGCTGCCTGCAGGAGATAGGGTGGAGACAAGTGGCATGTGCCATGGATACACGAGTGGATGAAAGGAAAGTGTGTAACAAGCGAAGAGAGAACAGCACGTTGCTCGCCCCTTGCTTGACAAACCCTGTTCCCCTTCTCAAGCTCCCGCACTGCCGCCGGCAGCATTAGGTGAGTGAGCAGAGGGGCACGTGAGCGGGATGAGCATGGACGAGTGGGCTGACACAAGGAAGGGCTGACACAAGGAAGGGCTGACACAAGGAAGGGCTGACACAAGGAAGGGCTGACACAAGGAAGGGCTGACACAAGGAAGGGCTGACACAAGGAAGGGCTGACACAAGGAAGGGCTGACACAAGGAAGGGGCTGACACAAGGAAGGGCTGGACACAAGGAAGGGCTGACACAAGGAAGGGCTGACACAAGGAAGGGCTGAACACAAGGAGGCTGACACAAGGAAGGGCTGACACAAGGAAGGGCTGACACAAGGAAGGGCTGACACAAGGAAGGGCTGACACAAGGGAAGGGCTGACACAAGGAAGGGCTGACACAAGGAAGGGCTGACACAAGGAAGGGCTGACACAAGGACGGCTGACACAAGGAGGAAGGGCTGACACAAGGAAGGGCTGACACAAGGAAGGGCTGACACAAGGAAGGGCTGACACAAGGAAGGGCTGACACAAGGAAGGGCTGACACAAGGAAGGGCTGACACAAGGAAGGGCTGACACAAGGAAGGGCTGACACAAGGAAGGGCTGACACAAGGAAGGGCTGACACAAAGGAAGGGCTGACACAAGGAAGGGCTGACACAAGGAAGGCTGACACAAGGAAGGGCTGACACAAGGAAGGGCTGACACAAGGAAGGGCTGACACAAGGGACCCGGGCTGACACAAGGAAGGGCTGACACAAGGAAGGGCTGACACAAGGAAGGGCTGACACAAGGAAGGGCTGACACAAGGAAGGGCTGACACAAGGAAGGGCTGACACAAGGAAGGGCTGACACAAGGAAGGGCTGACACAAGGAAGGGCTGACACAAGGAAGGGCATGACACAAGGATAGGGCTGACACAGGGGGGAAAGGCTGACACAAGGGAAGGGCTGACACAAGGAAGGGCTGACACAAGGAAGGGCTGACACAAGGAAGGCTGACACAAGGAAGGGCCTGACACCAAGGAAGGGCTGACCAAGGAAGGGGCTGACACAAGGAATGGGCTGACAGCAAGGAAGGGCTGACCCAAGGAAGGGCTGACACAAGGAAGGGCTGACACAAGGAAGGGCTGACACAAGGAAGGGCTGACACAAGGAAGGGCTGACACAAGGAAGGGCTGACACAAGGAAGGGCTGACACAAGGAAGGGCCTGACACAAGGAAGGGCTGACACAAGGAAGGGCTGACACAAGGAGGCTGACACAAGGAAGGGCTGACACAAGGAAGGGCTGACACAAGGAAGGGCTGACACAAGGAAGGGCTGACACAAGGAAGGGCTGACACAAGGAAGGGCTGACACAAGGAAGGGCTGACACAAGGAAGGGCTGACACAAGGAAGGGCTGACCACAAGGAAGGGCTGACACAAGGAAGGGCTGACACAAGGAAGGGCTGACACAAGGAAGGGCTGACACAAGGAAGGGCTGACACAAGGAAGGGCTGACACAAGGAAGGGCTGACACAAGGGAAGGGCTGACACAAGGAAGGGCTGACACAAGGAAGGGCTGACACAGGAAGGCTGACACAAGGAAGGGCTGACACAAGGAAGGGCTGACACAGGAAGGGCTGACACAAGGAAGGGCTGACACAAGGAAGGGCTGACACAAGAAGGGCTGACACAAGGAAGGGCTGACACAAGGAAGGGCTGACACAAGGAAGGGCTGACACAAGGAAGGGCTGACACAAGGAAGGGCTGACACAAGGAAGGGCTGAACACAAGGAAGGGCTGACACAAGGAAGGGCTGACACAAGGAAGGGCTGACACAAGGAAGGGCTGACACAAGGAAGGGCTGACACAAGGAAGGGCTGACACAAGGAAGGGCTGACACAAGGAAGGGCTGACACAAGGAAGGGCTCTGACACAAGGAAGGGCTGACACAAGGAAGGGCTGACACAAGGAAGGGCTGACACAAGGAAGGGCTGACACAAGGAAGGGCTGACACAAGGAAGGGCTGACACAAGGAAGGGCTGACACAAGGAAGGCTGACACAAGGAAGGGCTGACACAAGGAAGGGCTGACACAAGGAAGGGCTGACACAAGGAAGGGCTGACACAAGGAAGGGCTGACACAAGGAAGGGCTGACACAAGGAAGGGCTGACACAAGGAAGGGCTGACACAAGGAAGGGCTGACACAAGGAAGGGCTGACACAAGGAAGGGCTGACACAAGGAAGGGCTGACACAAGGAAGGGCTGACACAAGGAAGGGCTGACACAAGGAAGGGCTGACACAAGCTGACACAGGAAGGCTGACACAAGGAAGGGCTGACACAAGGAAGGGCTGACACAAGGAAGGGCTGACACAAGGAAGGGCTGACACAAGGAAGGGCTGACACAAGAAGGGCTGACACAAGGACCAGGGCTGACACAAGGAAGGGCTGACACAAGGAAGGGCTGACACAAGGAAGGGCTGACACAGAAGGGCTGACACAAGGAAGGGCTGACACAAGGAAGGGCTGACACAAGGAAGGGCTGACACAAGGAACACCGGGGGCTGACACAAGGAAGGGCTGACACAAGGAAGGGCTGACACAAGGAAGGGCTGGACACAAGGAAGGGCTGACACAAGAAGGGCTGAACAAGGAAGGGCTGACACAAGGAAGGGCTGACACCAAGGAAGGGCTGACACAAGGAAGGGCTGACACAAGGACGGGCTGACACAAGGAAGGCTGACACAAGGAAGGGCTGACACAAGGAAGGGCTGACACAAGGAAGGGCTGACACAAGGAAGGGCTGACACAAGGAAGGGCTGGACACAAGGAAGGGCTGACACAAGGAAGGGCTGACACAAGGAAGGGCTGACACAAGGAAGGGCTGACACAAGGAAGGGCTGACACAAGGAAGGGCTGACACAAGGAAGGGCTTGACACAAGGAAGGGCCTGACACAGGAAGGGCTGACACAAGGAAGGGCTGACACAAGGAAGGGCTGACACAAGGAAGGGCTGACACAAGGAAGGGCTGACACAAGGAAGGGCTGACACAAGGACGGGCTGACACAAGGACGGGCTGACACAGAGGGCTGCACAAGGAGGCTGACCACAAGGAAGGGCTGACACAAGGAAGGGCCTGACACAAGGAAGGGCTGACACAAGGAAGGGCTGACACAAGGACGGGCTGACACAAGGAAGGGCTGACACAAGGAAGGGCTGACAACAAGGAAGGGCTGACACAAGGAAGGGCTGACACAAGGAAGGGCTGACACAAGGAAGGGCTGACACAAGGAAGGGCTGACACAAGGAAGGGCTGACACAAGGAAGGGCTGACACAAGGAAGGGCTGACACAAGGAAGGGCTGACACAAGGAAGGGCTGACACAAGGAAGGGCGACACAAGGAAGGGCTGACACAAGGAAGGGCTGACACAAGGACGGGCTGACACAAGAGGGCTGACACAAGGAAGGGCTGACACAAGGAAGGGCTGACACAAGGAAGGGCTGACCCAAGGAAGGGCTGACACAAGGAAGGCTGACACAAGGACCAGGGCTCTGACACAAGGAAGGGCTGACACCAAGGAAGGGCTGACACAAGGAAGGGCTGACACAAGGAAGGGCTGACACAAGGAGGGCTGACACAAGGAAGGGCTGACACAAGGAAGGGCTGACACAAGGAAGGCTGACACAAGGAAGGGCTGACACAAGGAAGGGCTGACACAAGGAAGGGCTTGACACAAGGAAGGGCTGACACAAGGAAGGGCTGACACAAGGAAGGGCTGACACACGGAAGCGGCTGACACAAGGAAGGGGAGAGCTGGACACAAGGAAGGGCTGACACAAGGAAGGGCTGACACAAGGAAGGGCTGAACAAGGAAGGGCTGACACAAGGAAGGCTGACACAAGGAAGGGCTGACACAAGGAAGGGCTGACACAAGGAAGGGCTGACCACAAGGAAGGGCTGACACAAGGAAGGGCTGACACAAGGACGGGGCTGACACAAGGACGGGCTGACACAAGGAAGGGCGACACAAGGAAGGGCTGACACAAGGAAGGGCTGACACAAGGACGGGGAAGGGCTGACACAAGGAAGGGCTGACACAAGGAAGGGCTGACACAAGGAAGGGCTGACACAAGGAAGGGCTGACACAAGGAAGGGCTGACACAAGGAAGGGCTGACACAAGGAAGGGCTGACACAAGGAAGGGCTGACACAAGGAAGGGCGGACACAAGGACGGGCTGACACAAGGACGGGCTGACACAAGGAAGGGCTGACACAAGGAAGGGCTGACACAAGGAAGGGCTGACACAAGGACGGGCTGACACAAGGAAGGGCTGACACAAGGAAGGGCTGACACAAGGACGGGCTGACACAAGGACGGGCTGACACAAGGAAGGGCTGACACAAGGAAGGGCTGACACAAGGAAGGGCTGACACAAGGAAGGGCTGACACAAGGAAGGGCTGACACAAGGAAGGGCCTGACACAAGGACCGGGCTGACACAAGGAAGGGCTGACACAAGGAAGGGCTGACACAAGGAAGGGCTGACACAAGGAAGGGCTGACACAAGGAAGGGCTGACACAAGGAAGGGCTGACACAAGGAAGGGCTGACACAAGGACGGGCTGACACAAGGAAGGGCTGACACAAGGAAGGGCTGACACAAGGAAGGGCTGACACAAGGAAGGGCTGTCACAAGGAAGGGCTGACACAAGGAAGGGCTGACACAAGGAAGGGCTGACACAAGGAAGGGCTGACACAGGGAAGGGCTGACACAAGGAAGGGCTGACACAAGGAAGGGCTGACACAAGGAAGGGCTGACACAAGGAAGGGCTGACACAAGGAAGGGCTGACACAAGGAAGGGCTGACACAAGGAAG